CAGCACAGAAGTTCTCCCACTGCAGACACAGCTGATTCTCACAGCCAATTGGCCGGGAGGTCAATTCCTCCCAGTGATCCTATAACAACCAAGGCATAGCTACAACAACTGTGCACAAAGCCCACAAGGGGGTGCACCAAGAGTGTCCACCTCAGGTAACTGGGGAGGCTGAGCCACTGGGCCCTACAGGACACCTAGCACACAAAGCCTCTCTATCAACACAGGGAAGCAGCCAAAATGCGGAGACAGAGAAACAGGTCACGAATGGCAGAAATAGAGGAAAGCAAACAATTGGATATAGAGTTCAAGGCCACGTTTATAAGGTTTTTCAAGAATTTTATGGAAACCGCCGATAAATTTAATGAGTCCCTTATTAAGTATAATGAGACCATGCAGGACATGAAAAAGGACCAACTAGAAATTAAGCATACACTGACTGAAGATGCATGTTTGCCAATTCAAGAAACGAAGCCACTTCAGTCAAGACTAAATAGGGCTCGATTTTATTTGGCTCCATTAAGTCATGTTCTGTTTGTGGTTGTCCAACATCCTGTGCCTACATTTGCAGCATCCTCTGTGGCCTGGAATGGACAACTGATGATAACTGAACTGACCACTTGCTTAGCCATGGTTGCCCTTGTGTATTGGACACAACCTTTTGTCCTGGTGGCTGCATGGAATACAAAGGCAGAGAAGCTGGTGGCTGTTCTTCGAAGTGCCACAAGCAAGAGGGAGAGAGCCTAGAACAACCAGGGGCAAACCAGGGCTTCCAGGTCTTGCTGCACTGGGCTTCCTGGGGAATATTCTAACAAGCTTAGTGATAGAGGATGGAAGAACCAAAGAAGAAGAATGGGTTGGTTGGAGCTACGGGCTCAAAGGGGGGCAGCCCTGACAACAATCTAATAGCTAAGTGTAAATTAAGCAAACCTGCCAATGCCACCCACTTAAAAAATCTATGAGAGCATCCATCCCAATCACCCACGCGTGATGACTGAAACCACAAGGAAAGGACAGCATGTACGGACAGAGGTTTGAAGGTTGGCTTAATTTCTGTTGAGGGCAAATCTGAGTGACATTTGATGTCTGAGCAGAGCTCAATTGTAAGCCTGAGAAGGTGAGTTCTGATGGACCCTTTGGAACTCTGAGGAGCCCAAGCATGAAGGCTGAATAAATGGCACATGCTACATATTCAGCAGTGTGGTGTGATTCTCAAATAAACCTTCTTATTTGTATGATTTTAAAATCATGAGTGAAGATCAAGGAAAGAAGCCCTTCCTCTTCTCTTTGAGATGCTGCTTGAGCCACACACAACTCAAGGGCAGGGTGACCCTTACCAGGAATGGAAAAGAAGACAGTTCCTGGTGGCGCAAAAAGCGAACTGGGAAGAGCACGGGAGGACGGGGAACACCGAGGAGACAGAAAGGACAGGTTTTCTAACCGGAAGAAACCCACCAGCAGGCAGGCCAAGGGCCTGCATTGCGCCTGCCTCTGCTACCATCCAGAGCGCCAAGACAGTAGAAAACACCACTTCCTTTCCTGTTTGGCATTGGCTGTCAGGAAGCTCAAAGCTGCCCCTGAACCGTTATCTCCTCCAGACACCAGCAGAATATCATAATAGTCCTATGGCACACGGAGCCCCGAGGGTCAGAGAGTGGGCTGCTAAGGAACATCCGTGACCCATCAGTGGCCGTTCAGGGACACATGCTAGTTGGGATGTTCTGAATTAAGAATTGGCCTATTATGGGGGTGTGTGTATAACATGCTATAGACCCCATGTATGTATTATGTTATTATATATTAATATATGACTATACATTATAAACTGGCATATTATATACAATGTGTCTAATACAGTGGTCGGCAAACTCATTAGTCAACAGAGCCAAATATCAACAGTACAACAATTGAAATTTCTTTTGAGAGCCAAATTTTTTAAACTTAAACTATATAGGTAGGTACATTGTCATTAACTTAATTAGGGTACTCCTGAGGCTTAGGAAGAGCCACACTCAAAGGGCCAAAGAGCCTCATGTGGCTTGCGAGCCACAATTTGCCGACCACGGGCCTAATAGATAGATACATATATTAGGGTATGTACATAGCCTATATATTTCTAGGCCCAGATATTGGTCTATATTTTTGTTGTACTTATTCTTTCCTCACAATATATAGCTTTATATCTTTTTACATAATTTTATTTGATGTTCATTGCAAATTTTCCTCCATTATAATTTAGGTAAAATGTGAAATGTAAATTTAAAATAATGTGTCTTGAGGGTGTGTGTGTGTGAAGGTGAAGAGGGCATAGAAGGGATAAATGGTGATAAAAAATAAAAAAATGATGTGTCTTATTTTGTATGCTTATTATGTGCCAGGCACTATGCTTTCACTTCCCTCAGCCCACAGCAATAATAATAATGCCTACTTCCACGGATGGGGTGAAATCCCCTCAACTAAAACAT